CATTGCTTTTCCTCGTATGTTCAAGGTAGCGAATACGTAAGATGAAAATTCCTGCTTATCTAGGATTCACGACGAATCCTTTTTTAAGAAGAAGTACGAGGTTGATGAAGTTCGTTTCCTGAATGGAGATACGATAAGTGACTACCTTAAAGGAATCAAGGCGAAGAAAGTCTTGCTGTTGGTAAGTGATTCAGTGCTGTTTACCAAAAAGTGGTTTCTTTCGATAACGAATGAACTTTATCTAGAGAGCAGAGAACTCCGACAGCGGCAATGTTCTAGAGCCGCCAGCTTTCCCCGGGAAGGAATTGTAAGTTTTTACAGGTTTAATCCAATCGTGGTTACTGTAGCACCCACTGACTTTATAGCTCAGCCGTTATTTTATAGTAAATGCTTGCTTTCTTGAAACGTAATGAGTCACGCATTTCTTTGCCAAACTCCATCAGATGTGCCTAGGCTACAGAGAAAAACATAAAGGTCTTATTGCACTTTTCAAACGACGTAGAGAAAAAGTAGATATTCAACCACACACGCTCTATTAAACGTTCACAGCTGTTCCAGCGCACACTATTCACAGTTGTTTTGGTGATCTTCATTGTGCAAATTTAGATTTGAATGTCGACGTTAACAAGCTGTACCCAATTATGGCCGAATTACGTGTTTTCAAAACAGACAAGGAATTGGAAGTAAGGAACATTTCAGGCTGTCTTCACAAAAGAGCCACTGTTTTCTAACTTAATTCGTTTAATGGATCTACTTCAGGTCATGAGGTACGCTAGTAAAATCGCTTCCGAAGCTCATCGTGCTACCATGAAAGCGATCCGTGCTGGCCAATACGAGTATCAAATGGAAAGGTGCTACTTTGAACTCTAGATGTCATTTGAAAACTGTCAGATTTTGATATTCTAGGGCTGTTGTATCGTCCAAACTCGCAATTAGCGGTTCGAATTTGCAATTATTTTGCAAAAAAAAGTGTTTGCAGAGTAGTTTTGCAATTAATTTTCCCATAAAAATGATCGCAAAGAACCGATACTCAGACCACACCGACAAATGTCGATTGAAGCTTAGACTTTTCCGTTGACCGAGGCATAGTTCGCGTTTTAATTCGTTTGTATCAGTTGGTATTTATTGCAGTGTCTTCCGCCATACGTCTTACTATCATGGAGGATGTCGCCATCTGGCTTATACATGCATTAGCAGCAACGTAAGCATATTTTTGTATAGAGTTTCTATTACGATGTGAGTTGGGAAGTTGGAGGACAGCAATGAAAAAAGTAAAAGGGGAGAGAACTAC